TAGAATACAGTACAATCATTTAATAAAATATAGTTATTTGTTTCATAAGTACGAAAAATGCGCGTTTGTGTGACGAGGAAGGTGTCCGATGATACAACGCAAGAAGCAACTAAACGCTTGGGCGGGAATAATATACCATGCTCTTATCGATTCATTCTTTATTGACGGGAATTTCAATTCCACCATTTGGTTTGGAACCCCGTCGCACTCATATTGTACCCCAACTACCGTTGCATTGGAAGATTCGGCCCCGCAATTTGGCCTCTACGTTCATCAAATCTTTCTCCGAATGATTTCTTTCTCTGGGGTTACCTTAAACTCATGGGGTGGAATTAATGTTGCCATGAACGAGATGAAGCTGGCCTTTATCAAAGTCAAATACCTACCTTTCGGACGGCATCCGGATTCAGTCCGCCAACTCGACCTAGACGTCGCCGTCCTAAAAGATGTACCTACTGATGCAGTATCGTCTCACGGTGATCCCAGAGCTGGCCTCAGATCATCACCCTGTTCTTCTAGAATTGGTCGTTATCAGGACTAACACGGCCGACGAGATCTTGCCGAAGCGTACGTCTTGGCCTGCCTTCCACAATCGTCTGGAGGAAACGATGATGGACGATCCACCGGTAATCGAAGGCTTCGAGAACCTCGAAGCGACGCGACGGCCGACGAGTTTAGAAAAATCACGTAGGCTGCCCTACGACACGCCACGAAGTCGTTTCAAAAACGCAAAGACGATTACCGCCTTACAGGTTGGACCCGAGACCTAATCCAGGAGAAGAACCAATCCAGAGCGCGCTGCCAGCGTTCATGGGATCCTTCGGATCGAGACAAGTTGCAAAGACCTCAAGAAGAGGTCAAGACTGCCATCCGTGACTTCAGAACCGAGTACTGGGAAAACCGCCTGCGTACCTTGAGCGAAGACGGTTGTTCCCTCTGGAAGATGGCAAGGGCGATGCACCACACCTTACCGAGATCGTTCCCGCTGCACGGAGGCGGAGCTTCGGAGGACTGGTGTACGCAGACGCCGAGAAGCCTTTGCGGAGAGCCTGGAGTTCTCACTTTTATTCTGAACGCGATGCTAAGTTTGCGATGCATCTGACTCTGAGCACTCGTTCAGACCAGACCACCTGCATCGGCTTTAACCGCACATTCAACCGACGAACCGTCTTCGGATCGGTTCATATTCCGACCGCGAGAGGCAGTGAAGCGCTCGAGAGAGAGAGAGAAGGAACGCCCACGACCAGACCGAAGAGGCACGAAGTAACGGAAAGGTGCTCTTTTCAGAGCAAGATGTCCCCTGGTGGTACAACCAACCCCAAACCCGTTACCGCCGCCGCCACACCGATGGAAACCACCGGCAAAACTGTCGCCGTGGGGAAGAAAGCTCGCATCGCTGAAAAACCTGCCGGGCGCGTCCAAGGTGTATGAGATCACGGAGATGCTGTACTGCTGCCGCCTGAAAGTTGAAGCTTTCCGCACCAGCCGCCAAGTTCCGCAGTGCTTCACCTGCCAAAGGTTCGGCCACTCGAGTGTCAACTGCGGTTACACACCCCGATGTGTCCGCTGCGCCAAAAACCACCTAGCGTCGGACTGCAGAAGAAACCAAGAGGAAAGGCCCACTGGTGCGAACTGCTCCGGAGCCCATCCTGCCAACTACCGAGATGCCCCTCTTACCTCACAGCGGCGAACAAACGCAATAGGTGCACCGAGGAACCACTTTTGGCCACCGAGACAGATCGCCCAGCCCCGACCCCTCCACTTCCGAAGACGAGGACCCCGATTGGTAGCCAGTCAAGAAAAGAGTGAAGAAGTCTAGGAAGAAGCGAAACATCCGACATTCGACACCACCGGTCCGCCTCGGCAAACTGACGAAACCAGCACCCATCGCACCAGCACCGACATACACCGTCACCGCCCCCCCCCCAGCCACCACAGCGCAACCATTCTACGCCACACTACACCATCTCCGCTATGGGATACAACATCCACCTCCACAAAATCCAGGGATGGATCGAGCGGATTGCTGCCGCACACACAGTCGGACACAGCATAGTCCCGCTGCTGTTTGCGGCATTCAGCGAGATTTTCACGCCCCAGTATGGATAAGTCAAGAACAAGGAAAACCACTACCACCCTGCTGCAATAGAACATCAACGGCCACGCACAAAAACAGTACAACTTAAACACATCCTTCGAACGTACAACGTCGACATCGCCATGATCGGGGAAACACACCTGTCCTACAAAATATCACTCAACATCCCCAACTACACCATCTACAGACGAGATCGACCGATAGCTGCAGGCAGCCGGAGGCACCGCTCTGATAGTGCACCGACGAGTGGTGCACAGGCCGATCAATTTACCTACCAACTCACTCGAGGCCACCGGCGACCTTGCCAGCAACATCGTAGTCGTGTACCACAGTCCGCGCAATAACATTGTCCTGCAAGACCTGGACGACATTATGGCACTTGCGGACCATACCATCATTGCCGGAGATCTAAACTCTAAGCATCCCATCTGGAGCTCCGCCACGACCAATACCTCCGGACGATCGCTTTACAACATTTCGAAAGGAGCGGGTACGATATCATCGCTCCCGATCATCCAACACACATACCGGGCGACCCCGTGCACCAACCAGACGTGCTCGACGTTACGGTATTGCAGGCGATTCCGTACCCGTACGAGTTCGACATCGTCCACGACTGGAGTTCTGATCACCTTCCCATCGCCATGACCCTGCACACCAAGCCGTCCGTCACCATACCCCCGAACACCAGGAAGATCACCAACTGGAAAAAGTTTAACGAACATCTCCAGAGAAGCATACTATCCGGGAACCCCGACATCCGCACCCCGGCCGACCTAGACGAGAAAATGCAGATCCTGACGACCAAACTTCAACAAGCGCTGGCCGCGGCCACCAAACAAGTCCCGGCCAAGAAGGCAAATCAGCTCCCTCAGTATCTCAAGGAGGAGATTAGAGAGAAAAGGAGACTCGTTCGGCGACGGTAACTTACCCGAGACCCTGACATAAAGAGACAGGTCAATGCCAAACAAGCCGCCCTTAAAAATGCCATCCAGGACTTCAACAACAAATCCTGGAACGAGAACGTCGAGGAAACCATGACTCGATGTGGAAACGTCTTCCAAATCGGTCGTGCGCTTACCTCCAGGAAACCGCCGACGTACCCCCTGAAGGGCCCCAACGGGCACCGCTACGACGCAAAGGAAAAGGCATAGTTCTTTGCCGAAACCCTTCGCGTGAACTTCACCCCGTACCCCGTCGAAGACGAAAAACACAACAGACAAGTGGAAGAAGAGTTCGAAAGACTCCTCACCACCCGCGCGGAAGACGAACATGCGTTCGTACCTCCGACGGGAGTCCGCACCACCATCCTCAAACAAAGACCTCGAAAAGCGCCCGGAGCCGACGGCATAACATATAGAGCCCTACAGAACATCTCACGCCCAACCCTCGCCTACACCACGAGAGTGTTTAACGCCGCGATAGCGTTAGGACACTTCCTAACAAGCTGGAAGAAGGCGATTGTGATAATGCTACCGAAGCCCGGGAAAGATCTAGCCGAACACCAGAGCTATCCGCTCATATCCCTCCTACCAGTCCTGGGGAAGATTTTCGAGAGAATACTGCTGGCGAAATTGCAACGAAAAGGCATTCGACAAAGTGTGAACGGCAAGCGTGCTCGTCAAGATGCATCGAACCCAAAACATACCCGCCTCGTTCACTCGGCTTCTCCACAGCTACCTTTCGAACCGAACATTTCGGGTCAAAATAGAAGACCAGCTGTCGGAAGAGACACCTGCCGCCGCGGGAGTGCCACAAGGAGGATGCCTATCGCCAGCACTGTTCAACATGTACGTGAACGACATCTCCCAAGCCCCCAACGTCAAAATCGCCCTGTATGCGGACGATCTCCTCGTCTTCTCGAGTTCAAGACTTCCGGATACGGCAACGAGACTGAGTTCACGAAGCTTCGTATGGACGGACTGGAATGGGCGGGCACCATCCGGTACCTCGGAGTCCTAATCGACCGGCGACTAAACTTCACCCAACACGTAGCCGACACGATCGCCAAAGGACGGAGGGCAAGATCCAGATTGTTCCCTCTTCTATCATCACCAGCGCTGGCGCCAAGAACGAAGGTGCCCCGTGCTGACATACGCCTCTGCAGGCTGGAAGGCGTATGTCTCGAAGTCCAACTCCACCGCACTGGAAGCGGTACAAGTACAATCCATCGCGCTGCGCACAATAACCAAAGCCCCCTACTTCGTCTCCAACACCACCATCAGGCAGGACCTGCAAATAGACATCCTCGCAGAACACACTCGATCGCTGGCCGAAAAAATCTATCAAAGGATGGACAACTCCGACCTCCAACACATAAGAGACATCGCTCCCGTGGCGGGAACACAGGAGCAAAAGAAGAAGCGGCCAAGGAGGGTGCTGTAAAAAGAGTAAACACGCGCGTCCACTCCAGTTCAACCAACCGCGGGCGGTGACTGAAAACGGAAATAACACCTAAACCCGAACGCACATTCTCCCGATCCTCACCAAAAGGATCTGTAAAACAACACACACCAAAGACGCAAGCAGTAGAAGTTCAATAGCTAGGGCTGCTGAAATATGGATCGCCAAACGAATAAGTTTGCCGCACTTATTTATACTTTATACCATCTCGGTAGAAATGTGCCGACTCCGACGCGACGTAATTATGTTACAGAAACCGGGCCAGTTCACGACGTTCGCACAGAACTACCACCCGATCAGCCTGCTATCGACGATCGTCAAAGTAGCGGAAGCCACGGTCCATATTGTCATACTTGTACGGGCGCTTTCGTGTCCATTTCGAGGGACGCAGGGTGCCAGAGCGAGTGGTAGTACAATCTTTTACGTTATTAAGTTGGGTGATTGCTTGGATTAATATATTAACACACAGGTAGCGGAACAGATCTTTTTTAGACAATTGTCATGTCACCGGCCATCGAGCAGCTGTCGTGTCAAGCGTACCGGCTTCGTCTTGGCAACCTTTACGAAAGACATAGTTGCCACGTTTTATAACATACAGATATACTATAACATCTCCCTTTCCTTAATAATACAAAGTATACTTAAAATAACAAACATTACATATAATTACAAACATTACTACAAGTTTAGTCTACTTGGGGTCTTAATTAAACGACCTGATCGTGTGTGCCTTTCAGAATCATTCACCTGTATTTCAGAATCATTCACCGTTTCTGACCTAATTGGGTTTGGAACAATTAGTAATGAATTGTCTGAATTACTGTTAGTTAATAATCCTTCATTATCATTATTAACATCAGCAATTTCAGTTTCCATTGTTTTTAAGGGTTTAAAGAACATTCGGTTTCTGCGGTATAATGTGCCTTCTGCATTTTGTACTTGATAAGTTCGTGGTAAAGGTCCTACACTTACAATTGTACCTATGTGCCATTTTTTATCTGCAAGTGCCTTTTTGAATAACACTTTTTGTCCCACTACGAGATCATTAAGAGTTTTACATGATTTATTGAAATAATGAGATTTTTTAAAATTCATCCTTTCAATAAATTGTTTTTGCTTATTCAAATCTGTTAATTGTGATTGCAAAAGAGATTCTTTAATGGGTAGTCGCGTTCTGAGTAAGCGACTCATTAACAATTGTGATGGGGAGTTCAAACTTTCGTTAGGAGTTGTACGATATTGTAGAAGAGCCAAATATGGATCTTCATTGCACTCAAATGCTTTAATAATCATATTTTTCAAAGTGCCTATACTCCTTTCTACTTGACCATTTGATTGAGCATGGTGTGGACTAGCTGTCACGTGATTTATATGCCAAGTTTTAACAAAGTTAGCAAATTCATTGGAACCAAATGGAGGACCATTGTCTGAGATTAATGTGACAGGTATTCCATGCCTTGCAAAAATTGATTTTAGTTCTATTATAACTAGTAAAGCTGTACATCCTCTTTGCATTACTGCTATTTCTATGTACTTCGAGAAATAGTCAATGCAAACAAGATATTTCTTATCCAATACATCCATAAAATCTACCCCAATCTTATACCATGGTACTAATTTTATTTCATGTGGCATTAAAGGAAGTTGACTGTTATTTCTGCTGAATTGCTGACACGTAATGCATGTAGACACGATATTTTTGATATCGCTACTCATGTTCGGCCAAAATAATGAGTTTTTTGCGAACTTAATACATCGATCAATACCAAAATGTCCTTCATGGATTATTGCCAGCATTTCCTTGCGTAGTGATGATGGTATTACGATACAATCACCTTTAAAAACGATACCATCCGCAACATGAATAAATTCAGAAAATTTTAAAAATGGTCGCACTTCTAAGGGAATATTATTTCTATTTGACGGCCAACCATCTTGATAATATTTACTTAACGTTAACAGAGTCTGATCATTGTTCGTCTGTTCTCGAATTTTGTTTAACTGTTCAGAAGAAACTGCAAGATTGCACACTAGTAAATTTACATGTAAATTAAGATCCTTATCAAATTCATCTGATATTTCCAGCAGTTTATCTGACAATGGAGCCCTAGATAAGGTATCAGATACAAACATTTTATTTCCTGGCACATACTGAACTTCAAGATCATAGGCTTGAATTTTAAGCATAAATCTTTGAAGACGCTGTGGGACCTTATATAAGGGCTTTATAAAAAGGGGAATTAATGGTTTATGATCAGTGTGCACTAGCACTTTTTGTCCATATATGTACTGATGGAATTTTATACATCCATATACAATTGCAAGAAGTTCACGCTCAATTTGTGCATAATTTTGCTGACAGTCTGTTAATGAAGCAGATGCAAAAGCAATTGGGTTAATATCATGCGATATGACAGCTCCAACTGCATATTGAGATGAATCACATGATAGCGTAAGTTTCTTGTTTGTATCAAAGTACGTTAATACTGGTGCTTTAGTGATAAGGGTTTTTAATTTGTTAAATTCTGTTCTATGAATTTCATCCCAATGCCAAGGGTTGTCTTTTTTAATTAATAACCTCAACACTTTCGTATGATCAGAAAAATTTATGATAAATGACGACAAATAAGTTAACATACCCATAAACCTTTGTAAATCTTGCTTATTTTTGGGTTCTGGCATTTTAACAATTGCCTTAATTTTTAAAGGATCTGGATGAATGCCACGACTTGAAAATACGTGACCCATGTAGGTTACAGAGGTTTTACACAAATGCGATTTATTTGGATTAAAACGCATATTCACTGAACGAGCCCTATCAAGGACCGTTTTTAAAACAGAATCATGTTCCTTTTTTGTACTTCCAAATATAAGCAGATCATCAAAATAAATAATTACATTTTTAATTTGTGCAAACAGATCCACCATTGTAGCATGGAATATTTCTGGTGCAGAGTTAATACCAAATGGTAACCTCAGGAAACGAAAACGTCCAAAAGGAGTTATAAAAGTACACAGTTTAGATGATTGGTCATCTAAAGGTATAGTCCAGAAACCTGAATTTGCATCGAGAGTTGAGAAAAAACATGCATTCGCAAGTTTACTTGTTACCGAATCTATATTCGGAAATGGATAATGAGACCGTTTAATTGCTTTGTTCAGATTTCTAGGATCCAGACAGATTCTTAAATTACCATTTTTCTTAGTGGTTATAACTATACTATTTTTTTCACTACTAGCGTCTGATGACATGATTATTAACCTTTTTTCCACTTGTAAAGTAGGCTTTCTCGGCATTTGTTCAAAGTGGTTAATAATTTTTTATTATTAACTAGTAGTCAATAATGAGAAATGTCACGCTGTCACTTTTAGAAAACACAACCCGAAATTTCGCTCAATGAACGTTTAGACAAGTTCTCTAAAACGAATAATTGCCACCATTCGCAATTTCCAGAGAAATTATACATACCTAAAATTATCACATTTTGAAAAAATTCGAACGAAATTACTCTTTGAAAAATCTCAATGACAGAACAAAATACGGCCTGTTTGACTTGTACTTCCACGTACTTGATTGACATGTTAAATTAAGAAACAAACAATTCTGTCCAACCGTTAACTCTCTTATCAATACAATATGTTAATTTAGAGGATTTCAAGTGCTAGTAGTGAAAAAAATAGTATATATACCACGGTAGAGAAGTCTATTATTGCCTTCGCACCTTACCCCCCTCGGCGCAAGCGCCTCGAGATGTAATCTTGGTGCTCAGGCAATAATAGTGGACTTCTCTACCTTGATATATAATGTACTATACCCATGCAGTGGGCTCAGATATTCTTATTATAACCCCTAAGTCAACCATACGTTTAAGTTCTTTTTCCAAATCCTTATGTAACATAAAAGGAATTTTTCGCAGTGGTTCAATGACAGGCTTAATATTTTTATCGACTACAAAGTGACATTTCATATCAATTTTACCTAAACCTTCAAATACGTCCTTATAAGTTTCCAAGACATTGTGTTTTTCAGACTGAACTTCACTCGTCTGATTACTTTCAGAATCGAATTGCACGTTGTGAAGTCTTTTCACTAATTTCAAATTAATACAAGCTCTTAATCCTAAGATTGTAACACAATTGAAATTTGCAACATGAAATAATTCGTGCGACTTCCTTAACCCTACTTTACAAGTCAAATTAACTGAACCAATTACATCAATATTATGTCCTGTAAACGTACTCACCCTTGACGAACAAGGTGTGATATTTGAGTTCGGTAAGCCCAAAGTTGTGAACTTAGACAAACTGATTATGTTCGTTTGAGCTCCGGTGTCCAATTGGCAAATGACTTCTTTGTTGTTAATGTGTACGGCAGATTCCCATGATAAGGATTTGACATCAGAACTGGGAACATTTTCACACTCGACCATTCCTAAAAATAAATCTTCGGTTGTAGACAGCTGATGAACAGTTCTTGATTTTTTCTTAAAACAGCATTGCACGAAATGTCCTCTTCTGTGGCAGTAATTGCAAATTTGAGTTGCTGCAGGGCATCTATATCGATGATGTTGACCACAGCGGGTACATGCACTATCGTAGCTTGACGGCGATCCATAATTATTCTTAGGCGATGTACTCGGACTGACAGATTTTCTTCTCTTCGTGTGGCTTTGATTGACACGCTTTCTTCTTTGAAATTGATTATTTATTGCACCTACGAACGATGCTGCTGAACTTAACTGAGACATCTGCGCTTTTGTAAGGGATGCGGTCTTCGCTAGTTCGACTGCTTTATTTAATTCGATTGGACCTGCTCCAATTAATTTTTCCTTGATGTAGTGATTGGATTCGTTTAAACCACAGGTAAAAATGTCTTTAATCAAGCTTTCACGTAGTGCTCCCAAGTCGCAGGACAGGCTAAGATTTGTTAATGCTGTGACATAATCCTCAAGGGATTCATTGCTACCTTGCTTTCGTGTTATAAATATATGCCTCTCAAATGAAATATTAGCGGTAGGTGTAAAATGTGCATCAAACCTCGTTTCTAGCTCGTCGTATTTCACAGAATCCAAGTTTTCGTTAAAAGAATTGTAGATTTTCAAGCAATCGGGGCCCAGGTAGTGAAGCATTAAGGCGACTTTTCTTGCATCACTTTCTTTGTCAAGACCTGTAGCTCGCAGATAAATTAGGAATTGGGTTTTCCAAGTTTTCCAGGCTTGTGATAAATCAGGTGCACGCAGATTCATAGGCTGAAGCGAACAAGATGCCATAGGTGCTGCTCTACTACACGTGCTTCTACAACAGATTGGTTAGCATTTGAATTTGACGGATTTACTTCATTGTCTGGCATGACGGGCTTGATTCTTTATTTACTGACAGATTAATTTTAGACGACAACTTCTGACACCATATTATGTTGGGTGATTGCTTGGATTAATATATTAACACACAGGTAGCGGAACAGATCTTTTTTAGACAATTGTCATGTCACCGGCCATCGAGCAGCTGTCGTGTCAAGCGTACCGGCTTCGTCTTGGCAACCTTTACGAAAGACATAGTTGCCACGTTTTATAACATACAGATATACTATAACATACGTGACCAAAACAGCTAAAACGGAATTACTCATTATGATGTTGTCATTTGGCTATTTATAAAAAATGGCGCCTTTAACCTATTGGCCCCATTTAATAGGTGGTTTTAGTAAAATTGCGAGAGTAGGGACGCGTTCCGGAGTGATAGCGGTAGGGCAATCGATTTTTGACTTCCGGAACGTCACGTATGTACGTGGTAAGAAATAGATGGTTTTTTGTATCGAAGTGCAAATGATGAATGAATACCAAAGTCACCGTGAAAAAGTGGATCGACCCTGAATATTAGAAGAACAAGTTCAAACTTATCTATTAGATGATAAACCTTGTGATACAAGTATAGGTTAATTAAACACACACCTCGACGAAATAGAATCGGAAAAAGAGTTCTACGAAGAACAATAGTACGAAATTTAAAACCACCCTGAAGATGGTGAAATTAGTACTAGACAAGAAAAAAATTCGATCCATTAGTCATTATTCGTAGTCACTACCACATAAGAACCGTCATGTCTTGGTTACGTGTTAGTGAAACTGATAAGCCAGGGACCGCAAACATTTTTGAAAAACTAGGACGTATTAATATTCCAAGATCCCAGGGCTCCCAACCCTTACTTAATCAATATTTTCTGATTGACGAAATATGTATAATAGAGTAGTATTAGTGCGTACAATGAGGATGTATCGTCGAAAAAGTGACAACTCATGGACCGCGGGGAACCTCGCTGTTCAACCCTTATCGGGTTCGCAACGGAGTTTCTTGCGTCCTCCACACTGGTGCGGTGCATAACTCGGCGCGGTTCACGAAGGGATAATGTTGCAAATCTGAACATTCCTTAGGATAAAACAAGGTGGGCAGAAACAAAAATTAGACAAAAGGATTGCCATTTGCTGTAGAATGTAGGTAGTTAGCACGCGGAAGGATGGGCGGCCCGTCGGACACACAAACACAACGAAGATATAATGTAATAAAAATGCTTTCTAACAATGAACGACGCGGTCACCCACACCGATTTTCTTCGAACAATAAATAACTGTGGTTGTGTAGGGGATTTAATTGATTTCCAAAAATCATCTCCTTGGCTCTAACCCTTAGGGTCCTAGTCTAACAAACACATGGCAGTATCGCCTTAATAACGAGATGCTAATTGACACTTTTGGTATTACAATACATTGTAAATGTTGAATTAAAATTCACCAAAGTACTAAAACCGGTTAGAACATTACTTTATGATTATGGCCGTCAATATTGTAGGAATTAAGATCGCTATCGCTTTGTCATTTTTGCAAACATTCTGTTGTATGGAAATGTGATTTGACGTGTCACAAAATGTAAAGGGCGATTATTAGGATATATAGACAGAAATATTCCGTAACCAATGAAGTCGGAATATTTGAATATGGATTGGCAAATCCCATCCAGCATGCGTGCCTTCGATAAAAATGTATCTTTGAATGAAGTTGATCGCTTATGTTAAAGTCATATCGAAATATTTTTATTGTACCTACTCGCAGTTCGTATATAGATCCATAACACGTTTCTATATTTTCCACATCTTTACTTCATATTTCGTTGTTGAACAGTCTCACACGCTCGCAGTATTAATCTTCAAAGCAATAGAGAAATTCCAACTTAACGCGCCTTTTTGATATAAAAAGCAATTAATTAGTGTGAATAATTTGTTTTTTTTTAGTCACCGCCTCGAACATGGAGCGTGTGTTCAAAGTAATAAAGATATCAAATAGAACCCATACAATTTAAGCTTGATAAAACCGAAGTACACACTTTAGATTAGAAAATAGAATGTGATATGGAAGTACTTGAAAGAAACCTCAAATTCGCTCACTCACCATTACAGTATTATATAATACCGGGTGATTCATTAGAACTGATGACAGTTTAAATTTCCCGCAAAACAAGAAATTTTAAAGGTTGGTAATAATAGATTATCATTTGTCTAATTCCAGTGGCGTACGTAGAATCACTCTCCAAGAGTCATAATTTATTTTTAATTTACAAAGTCGTTGTCAATTGTAAATCAATCACAATAATTACGTTCATTCTCATAATCAAGAGCCTGCAGTTGCTGAAGGACAGAAACCCGGTACGGGTGTGTATGTATATGCAAGTCTTCATGAAAAAGTCGTTGGCATGTTGCATAAGACACTCCTGTAATTCGAAAATAAAGTTAGTAGGTATAATATTGGGCGATTAACTGACGGATTGATTTTCTGGGACTCGCTTCCATTCATTGTCTTCGACCACTTCATCGTTTCTTAGTAATGGACGACCTGTATGTTTTTCTTTAGAAATGCAATTCTTGTTTTCAAATCGATCAACGATTCGTTTCTTATGATTGGCAAATGCTTTATAAGAAATAATAACATCGGGATACTATCCCATAAACTGCTCTCGACAGGACCGAAACAAATATGACCACGTTCCATCGTCGTTACGTATAGCACTTCGTATGAGCGTCTTGTTCTTGTGTAAAGGGGATCCCCAAGAAGGTACAAATGCACATTAGTCTGATTTAACCGTTATTTAATTACTTACTTCAACAAATTCTTGAATTTACAGCGTATTTTTGGAAAGAACTGTTTTTGAGAACGTTGATATATTGGAAAAGTAAATTAAAAACAACCACAAATTAACGAAATAACGACGGCACTGGTGACTAATAAGAATTAGTAAAATAACAAAAAATATATCATCGCCAATTCTATTCCGTAAACACCACTAGAATTATACGCACGTAATTCAAACTGTCATCAGTTCTAATGATTCACCCGGTATAAAGTGTTCGTCACCGGCCTCCACACATGTTGAAAAATACAGAAAAGTATGTAGCATTTGAAAATAAATGGTTTTCGAAAATGTTCGTTCAATTCGTTCGTTCGATTTTGTATTTATCTTCAAACAGCCCTTACTTAAAAAACACCCCGCCTAACCATACAATTAAACAAAAAAAAAACAAACCATACGTAGCATAAAGAAAGTTATGCAAACTAAAATTATGGATGCCAGCACAACAGTATATGGCGTTTAAATAAGTGGGAGGCATTATTAAATGGACCACCTTATGTATTGTGGCAATTCAAAATTCTACGCTACATTCTAAATACTTTTGAATTTAACCCGGGGACTGAAGTGTTAGGTATTTTAGTTGTTTAGATAGTTATTTAATTAAAATAATTTAGGGTTAGATTTTTAGGTTCAACATAACACTGTAGATATTTGCTTTTTTGTGTTTCAATTAAAATAAATGTAATCCAATCCAGACATATTGGAGTAGTATTAATTTCGGTGATAACATTGCGTCTAAATTTTGCCCTCAAATTATTGATATTAACGAAATACCTGTGAAAACAAAATTAACTCAATTATTCCCTATTAATATTATTGACCCATTTATTTACCTAAGCCAACTAGAAGTAAAGAAGTATAATAAAGGAAAATCCCAAAATATTTAACACCGACGCCGACACCGAGAAACGAAGAATAAGTATGAAAGAATTTACACGGTGAACGATCGGTAATTTGTAACCGCCCGTTACATCAGCAGTTACTATATTATATGGGAAGATAACAAAAATAGTTTTCCGAAAAATTCGACATATGTGTTACTCAACCCTGTTAATGAGTCTCTTCCAACTAAAGTATTTTCAGTTTTATACTATATCCGCTTGTACTTTTTTTGTTGTACAAAGGACAATGTCTTTCTTGTCTTGTCTAGGGCTCTTTCCAATACTACCCATGCGATCAAAAATGAGTTGCTGTCGAGTCACCTTTGGAATTTTTGTTTACATGGAAAATCGTATTTAACTTGAACTTCCATAGGCGACTCGACAGCAACTCATTTTTGATCCTTAATTAGAAAGTGTTTCCTCTGACGTGAAGATTATCCGTCGTAATTCTCGCTACATACCCTAAACGGCTTGAAATTTCGGGAACGTGCAAAAGTTCAAACAATAGTAGCGGATTACGACAATTTCCCAAGTTTCTCAAGGAAACTCTTTTGAAAATTTAGGGGTGTCTTGTTTACGAGTTTACTTTTAACCAACGGAACCTGGTCCGACATCTTTTGAGGAGGTGGAGGCAGTGCATTATGATCAATACATTCCGTAAGCAGTCAGTATAGAAAGTGACATGTTTAATAGAAATTAAGGTGTTTAATAGTGATTTGTACAACTAGAGAAGAAAGTGGAGTTTTTCAACTCGTTCAAAATTTGAAACATAAGCGTAGCGAGTGTGCCAATTGAACAAGAATGGAATAAATATTTTATGATACAGATAATAATCTTTGCACTTCAAAATTATGCAAATGCAATGTGACAAGTGAAAAGTTGCATACCTCTAGTAGCTTTATGAAATGGACCTCAGATCTAGTCCGAAAAAAAGCTACAATCATCAAAACTAAGGCTGAAGATCGCAAGTCGAACATAGTACGATTTCTCATGTAAACAAAAGTTCCAAAGAGCGACTCGATAGCAACTCATTTTTGATCGCATAGTACACTGTGTGCAAGATAGGGATGTCTATCACCGACTTTGTGGTTCAATGGTAGAGCGTTGCGCTATAAAGTTGGAGGTCGGGTGTTCGAACCTGGACTAAGGTAAGAATTTTTCATCTGTGACAGAGATGGGAATTTCCGTAGACCAGTTTCGAGCATACTGCCGGCTACTCCAAATTAGGTTTTCCTGCAGTTTTCCTAATTCGTAAAGTAAATACCGGAATAGTGACCGTCTGCAGAGGCACCTCTAAAGAGCATTATGAAGGTCACTCTTAATTGGACGCAAGCCTGTTGAGGGCCCAGAACAAGAGAGGGATAATAAATAAATAAATCATGGGGACCTCCGAAACAATAGAA